TTTGCAAGTACAAACAAAATAACGGTGAAACAGAAAGTTTTAAATAGTTTCAAAGAAACGTAACATACATAATTATATTTTAAAGCACTTGAATATATTTTGCTAATATGAAATGGGTTTTAAATCTATACAAATAAATAAAATTGGAGTATCTGTTTGTAATAATAAAATTACCACTTTTTATTAAATGCGTAAGTATTGGTGATTACTTTTATACACAGTATACTTAAACCAAAATAACATTTTTTTAATTTTGTCTGCCTGTCTGTTTGGTTCTCTGTCTGTTTATTTCGCCTAATCTCTGGAACGGCTCTACCGATTTTGACGGGACTTTCACTGATAGGTAGCTGATAATATAAGGAGTAACATAGGCTACTTTTCTTAGATCAGCTTCGCCCCGCGGCCTCACCCGCGGTACGAAAATAACCGCGGCTTACATCGCGGAACTCAGCTAGTAAAAATATATATATTGGAGTTAAAATCAAGTTTACTTATAGTGAGACTTATCTATTAAAACAGTCTAATAAATTTTATATCGTGAAACTGGGTACGCAAGAGTAGAAAATTTAGATATTAAATTATCGCACCTACACTTCTCTTTAGGAATGCCTAAAGAATATTAGAAGCAAAGGGTTCATGAAGCTGAAAGCAACAAACACCCTTTGCTTAAAATTAAATAGAATATCCGGTATCTCTGGCATCTCATAGTGAATTATTCTGTAGACGGACATAATTTGAAGTATACAACAAAGGGGAATGCGCCTTTGAAATATTTTCTCTCGCTTAACTCTGAGTGCTTCAGATATGTCAAATTCTATTCAAAGTAATATCTTGTATTTACCCATTTTCGTTGAAAATTCCTCTATAGTGGAAATGTTAGAGATGAGGCCGTTTTTTACGACTCTAGAAACCCGCAAGTGACTAATTATAGACTTCACTAAAAAAGAGCTCATCTACGAATCTGCACGTCACTTTAAAACCTGTTTACTTTTATTTATCTATGCATTTATTTCATTTCACTGACATTAAACGCCACTTTTAAGGAAACTAGAGGTCCCGCAGTAGTCGAAATTCGACTATAATTAATTGGAATCGTAAGTTTGTACTCTATTATGATTGTATTTTATACTTCTATAATCACAAATTTTGCCAAGACTACACTATAAAAAATATTAACAAAGACAAACAATATTTAACCTATTCTCAATTTGACAACAGACGTCAAGAACAAAAGTTTGACAATAAATAGTATGCATGCGTGTGTGCGTCAAATATATGGTATGTAGTGTGTGTAATGTTTTCTTTATTGATTTAATGTATCTTTTATGCATTATTTTAAATAAATATTAGAATTCTGCACTTCTTCTCTATATTCTCTATAAGTGTGGGAAATTTTATACTCCTCTGTCCGCGCAATTTTCGTAAAAAGGGGTACAAAGTTTTTGCTTCACGTATTAATATATAAGGAAATATTGTTTTTAATAATATTCTTTATCAAAAAATATTCGGAATATACCAACTTCTGAGACAAGTAACTGTGACCATAATAATCTAAATGATAAAACAAATTTTCGTATTTCTGTGGCCGTAATGGACAATCAGAGAAAGATTTTATATGATAACTAATAAAAATCGTTTACGTTTCGCGGTGACTTTTAATAATTACACGTAAGGAAAAATTCAAACCGATTGAAGTCGTCGTGGCCTAAAGGATAAGACGTCCGGTGCATTCGTATCTAGCGATGCACCGATGTTCGAATCCCGCAGGCGGGTACCGATTTTTCTAATGAAATACGTACCTAACAAATGTTCACGATCGACTTCCACGCTGAAGGAATAACATCGTGTAATAAAAACCAAACCCGCAAAATTATAATTTGCGTAATTACTGGTGGTAGGACCTCTAGTGAGTCCACACGGGTAGGTACCACCGGCCCACCTATTTCTGCCGTGAAGCACTAATGCGTTTTCGGTTTGAAGGGTAGGGCAGCCGTTGTAACTTGAGACCTTAGAACTTATATCTCAAGGTGGGTGGCGCATTAACGTTGTAGATGTCTATGGGCTCCAGTAACCACTCAACACCAGGTGGGCTGTGAGCTCGTCCACAAATATAAGCAATAAAAAAATAAAAATCAGGTGGGCTTTTTTTTTTTTATGATTGAAAGTTTACTGGTGGCCCGAAGGCCTTTCCAGTTTCACCAGGACAGGTGGGCGAGCAAAGGCTCAGCCAAGAGGGGTGGGATTTGCTAACAACTGCCCGAGCGCCTCCGAAGGAGACCTAACAACTCAAGAGCAATTGTTTCGCGAATGAATCTACTACCGGATCGGAATCGCGACCCNGAGGTCCCGCAGTAGTCGAAATTCGACTATAATTAATTGGAATTGTAAGTTTGTACACTATTATGATTGTATTTTATACTTCTATAATCACAAATTTCGCCAAGACTACACTATAAAAAATATTAACAAAGACAAACAATATTTAATCTATTCTCAATTTGACCACAGACGTCAAGAACAAAAGTTTGACAATAAATAGTATGCATGCCTGTGTGCGTCAAATATATGGTATGTAGTGTGTGTAATGTATTCTTTATTGATTTAATGTATCTTTTATGCATTATTTTAAATAAATATTAGCATTCTGCACTTCTTCTCTATATTCTCTATAAGTGTGGGAAATTTTATACTCCTCTGTCCGCGCAATTTTCGTAAAAAGGGGTACAAAGTTTTTGCTTCACGTATTAATATATATAAGGAAATATTGTTTTTAATTGTATTCTTGATCAAAAAATATTCGGAATATACCAACTTCTGAGACAAGTAGCTGTGACCACACTAATCTAAATGATAAAACAAATTTTCGTATTTCTGTGGCCGTAGTGGACAATCAGAGAAAGATTTTATATGATAGCTAATAAAAATCGTTTACGTTTCGCGGTGACTTTTAATAATTACACGTAAGGAAAAATTGAAACCACTTAAAGTCGTCGTGGCATAAAGGATAAGACGTCCGGTGCATTCGTATCTAGCGATGCACCGATGTTCGAATCCCGCAGACGGGTACCAATTTTTCTAATGAAATACGTACCTAACAAATGTTCACGATTGACTTTCACGGTGAAGGAATAACATCGTGTAATAAAAACCAAACCCGGAAAATTATAATTTGCGTAATTACTGGTGGTAGGACCCCTAGTGAGTCCGCACGTGTAGTTACCACCACCCTACCTGTTTCTGCCGTGAAGCAGTAATGCGTTTCGGTTTCAAGGGTAGGGCAGCCGTTGTAACTATACTTGAGACCTTAGAACTTATATCTCAAGGTGTCTGGCGCATTTACGTTGTAGATGTCTATGGGCTCCAGTAACCACTTAACACCAGGTGGGCTGTGAGCTCGTCCACACATATAAGCAAAAAAAAAAAAAAAAAAACAGGTGGGCTGTGAGCTTGTCCACCCATCGAAGCAATAAAAAAAAAATTGTGCGCCACCTGTCGTACTTTAATGGAACTATGATAGAAAGCTTTCCTGAAGTACCTTTTTTTTTTTATTGCCCTTGTAGGCAGACGGCCCACCTGATGGTGAGTGGTTACCGTCGCCCATGGACTTCAGCAGTGCCAGGGGCAGAGCCAAGCCGCTGCCTACCGCTTAATACTCTCCACAAGCCTCGTTTGAAGAAGGACATGTCATAGCGCTCGGGAAACACCGTGGAGGGGAGCTCGTTCCATAGCCGGATGGTACGTGGCAAAAAAGATCTCTGGAAAAGCACTGTGGATGACCGCAGTGGCTCCAGGTAGTATGGATGAACTCTACTCCGGTGGCGGGCGGTGCGATGGTAAATACGAGAAACCTACCAACAACTACTGTGCGAAGCTTCATCACAATCGTATGAATCGCTTAAGAGAACACAAAGAACAAACATTAATTTTCAATCAGTGAATAATGGCTGTTGATCCCCCAAATCCATCTTTAATATACTCAAATTATAATCTTATCGCATTATTCGTCTTTAGTAGTTAGTCCTACTTACCATTCTCTACTCGTAAGAATTAGAATTAATTCTAATGCCTATCTTAAGCATTAAGCATTAAAAGGAACTATTTTCAATTTCGTCATCTCCTTTCTTCGCGACACCACCCGCCACTTGAACAAAATTTATCTGTAATACTACCACCATGTAGGTTTTGGAATGTAACATATATTTTCTTAAAACGCGCTTACGTGGGTAGTTACGACCTTCTTAAAACGAGGAGCGAAGAGAATCCGAGAGGTAAGCTAAGGTAGGCAGCGGCTTGGATCTGCCCCTGGGATTGCTGAAATCCATGGGCGACTGTAACCACTGACCATCAGGTGGGCCGTATGCTCGTCTGCCTACAAGGGCCATTTTTTAATTTTTTATTGCTTAGATGTACGCTGGGTTTACCTACAAGGGCAATAAAAAAAAGTAAGTAAGCGGTAAGATCATATCAGCTCTATACTTTAAATTCCAAAACAAACTACAAAAATCCCTTTATATTGGTATTCTTCAATAACCACCTAAAAACAGGTGAGTCATAAGTTTTATAATTAAGACTAATAAATAGTTAAAGTTTCTGTTTCAGTACTATATATTTATATAGCATATTCAAATTGAAATTTTGCATAAAAATTTCTATTTTTTGTTGCTGAAAGGAAGAGATTACTATCTATTTGGAACACTAACGCTCTTAGCATCAAATGGGTCATGAGCATACATTGCTATCAAAAATTCATATTTAATGATCTATTGTTAGAGCATTTACTGAATTTAAATGTTTAAATTATTTAATTATGGTCAGCGTAATCATTTAGATGTGTTTGCGACAAAAATGATATCCAAACGCGGCAAAGTATTTCGCACGTCGACATTCCATGTTATCGAATTAAAGACATATCCATCTTAATGTTGAGGTCATTTGATAACAGAATCGATTTATTGAACTGATAAACAATTCTTATGAACTTTATATCGAAAAAAGTTTACCTTCAGGCAAGTTCAATGTACTTGCGGATATTTTTAAATTCGATGCAACTCACAGAACGTTCTCATAACTATCTATATTCACTTTAAACAGTTTTCGAACATTAGATCCGAGATCGTATTTCTCGGGACTCGATATACTGTCGTAACGCACAACCACGTTCTAGGACCGATCGGATTGCACTGACTCTCTCACCCGCCAAGTGCCGCCTGTCTGTGGGGAAAATTGCGAAGAATGTGTCTTTTCATTTTCAACGTTCCTCGGGGATTCAACATAATATCATCGGTGTAAATTAGATTATAAATTTTTCAATAAGTTGAAACTAAGCGAAAACAAAAATAAGTGTGTTGATAAATGAAAATTTGTAAATGAAAACAATCCACAAGGATAAAAGATTTGTTATATCGAAATTTCGGGCTACCACGAAAAATTATGTATTCATAAGATCATTACAATATGCATATTGAACATCATGGGGCACCCTAAAAAAGTTGTTTGTCGGATTTTTGCTTCGATTCAATTTAGGATAAGACCTCATCATTTATTAGAAAAATCTTTTTCATTTTGGACCGTAACCCAATTTACATAGGAGTGAAATTTTTCGATGAATCTGCGGACTTAAGACTTCTCGCATGGGAGGAAATTAGTTTACTTTGTAGTTCTGTGAACGTTTGTGAGGTATAATGTAATATTTGACAGTTTACTTAGAATTGAAGACGGTTTTTTGAGTTTTTGTACATATCACAATTCCGTGTTAGTGTTATAATATATTTAATTTTAACTTCAAAAGCATTGTGTCAATCAAAATTATTACCAATATATATAAAAATCAATTGCTGTTCGTTAGTCTCGCTAAAACTCGCGAGCGGCTGAACCGCTTTGCCTAATTTTGGCCTTGAATTATTTTTGTCAAAGTCCAGATAATATTTAAAGGTAGGTAAATATGAAAATGCTCGAAATTAAATAAAAATAACAATTTTGTTTTCACTTTGATGTGTCCTCCGTCGGATGGATTCCTTTTATTTCTTTTAAGTTTATTTTATACAAAAGTTTAGGTCTGTTATTTATCGATTTAGTCATTACGAAGTCTGCCCGGTCAGCTAATTACCAATATAAATCTAAATGCTAACCAAAATGCACAAAAATATTGATGTAGGTCAGGAATCGAAATGTGATCCCACAAAACCGATGCGTCTCCAAACTTCATTTAATTTTCGGCCTCGCGGGGTGTTGCGTTTTCAGGATTAAAAGGATAATACAGATATTTTAAAGTAAGATCTTATGAAATATACACATGAGCACCTAATTCTTTTTATTTCATGCACCACTACATGAGTTAAAAATACTACAGAGAGAACTCCCTCTATGCTTTATAAATAAATTATTATCGTGTTTCATGGTGAGTCTCTGCGGTCTTGTTTGAGATGATATTATTATTTTTATGCTAGTTCATCTCCATTTTACAATCGTGCCACCTGCCAGTGGGGTAGAATTCTTTCGGAGTTCCTGAAACACTTTGAAATGGCGCAAAATTTTCATTGTTTTTTTTTTTTAAACAAATTCCTAAAGATTATATTTTCATTTGTCGAAATGGAAAAATTTACGCCATCGAATATTTAGCAGCTAAATCTAAATAAAGTTTTAGTTACCAGAAGTTTTATTTTATTTTATTTTGTGTCCTTCTCTGAAATATCTGGCAGAATTACTTAACTTAATTATTAAAGAAATATGAAAATCTTTCATTGTCGACGGCATATTAGGTTGCTGACTGCAGATGAGCTATAGATCGCAAGTTTAAGGTGCCATAATGTTGTACCTGTACTGTAATTATACTGAGACTTTAGAACTTATATCTCAAGTTGTGTGGCGCATTTACGCTGTAGATGTCTATGGGTTCCATTAACCACTTAACACCAGGTGGGCTGTGAGCTCGTCCACACACAAGGGCGGATCCAGCTTTGGCGCCAGGAGGGGGTCACATAGTCAAATTTAGATGCGTTCGTTCCCAAGCGTTTGCCATTATACAAAGTTATTATATTATTATATTAAATTAATTAAATATTGAAGGTATGTAGTTAAATAAAATCTGTATGGTGACAAAATATATAAATAAAATCATTATATTCAATTAGTGGTCCACCTAAGTCCTGGTACCAGCTCAGGAGGTGGTCATGACCCCCATGACCCCCCCCTGGATCCGCCATTGTCCACACATCAAGGCAATAAAAAAAAAGCGTATTTTTCGCTACAGTCTATTTATGGCTTTCATGAGGTGATAATTTCTACCTTTGTTTTTAGATTTTACTACCGACAAAATTGTAATGAAGTTGTGTCCACTAAACAGTTTACGAGTAAGAAATATGAGAAAACTAAATTTGATAAAAATATGTACATTATCAATACAATAACTTTTAAAAATAATTTATGTTTTCAATGAAAGCTTTTTAGGTCTGGGTACCAGAATTACTGTTTGAAAGCTGCGTATTTCAGTGTACGACTTCGTAGAACGTTTGTTAATATTAAAGCAGCTACAAAGAGTGGAGGAACTTAATGTACCAGTGTAGAACAAAGGCGAGTGTTGAGTAATGTGTGCTGAAGTAAATTTAATGTAGGTACAAGTTACTTTTGGTTTGTTCGTGGTTTGGTTTGTATGGCGGTTGAATTCAATGTACCTTTGTTATTGTAAATTGTAACTTACTCGTGAACTGTTTAGTCGACACAACTTCATTACAATTTTGTTGGAAGTAAAATCTAAAAAACAAAGAAATTATCACCTCATGAAAGCCCACAAACCATAAATAGACTGTAGCGAAAAATACGCTTTTTTTTATTGCCTTGATGTGTGGACAATGGCGGATCCAGGGGGGGGTCATGGGGGTCATGACCACCTCCTGAGCTGGTACCAGGACTTAGGTGGACCACTAATTGAATATAATGATTTTATTTATATATTTTGTCACCATACAGATTTTATTTATTTTACCATTTGCGTATTACGTACTACGGGTACAACAAAACCTCTAATAATGAACCTAATAATAAATATCGATACAGCTCCTCAAAAATACGAATACTCCAAAACTTGAACTCAGCATATTTGGGAAGGCATATTATTGACACAGAGTGTCACTTCAAAGTAAGGGGAGGCCCTTAGAAGACGAGTACAGTACGAGGGTCCTTCAGTGACGCGTGCTGAAGAATTTTCGGCATTTTGTACAGCCGTAAAAAAGTTACAAGTGATTCTACAGACTCGTGTTTCTTGAAGTCGGCCAAAATATTTCGGAAAAGTTATATTAAAACTAATCTATCTAGTCTTTTAACATATGAAATGACGGGTTGTACTTTAATCTTGCTCTATGCGTCCTTTATATGATTGAGAAGGTTATTATTATTATTTCAGAGAAGGCTTCTTTGGTCTTTTATGTTATTAAGCTGATTATTAAGCTGGTATATCATCAACTTCCCATCAACTTACCAGCATGGCGAAGTTATATTAGTCATTTATATTTTGTGTCGAATTTTATTAAGGAATCAGCAAAAGCAAATTACTAACATCACGACAATGGTGATCAATAAATGAAATTTATTTAAGCAATGTTTTATTGTTTGTTTTTCTGTAAAGAGTTGTTACTTATTAGACAGTGGCCAAGCTTTATTGACTTTACTGACAAGCTTTGCAGTAGCTGTACTGACTCGTAGACACGATGATTAGTACTACCTGTTAATGTTATGTGATGACAATAAGTATCGCTTATTTCACAATTATAACACACAGCTCTAATTATTGATAAATTGAATAATGAGCGACTCAAGCAGGGAAACATTAAATAGAGTAGTATTTTTTGTTAATTTCGGCTGTCGTAGATATAAATAAAAAACTTCAGAGGTGTCAAGGGACACCCGGATGGAACGAAGTTCCTTTCGATTAATTAGTGAAGGAATTGTAAAATTTTTTTTAAGTTATAATAATAAATTATGGCATTATGAAGAAGAAAAAAACAATACTATGAACTAAATTACTATTGTTGAAACGCTATCTCGAGAAACTGTACTCATTACGCGGACCAATCGGATACGAGCAATGTCACGCGATAAGCGCCTACACGTTGATTGGTCAGAATGACGGATCTAAAAAGTGTCGTGACAACTTTTCGTAACATTTTTTTCCGTCTAGCCCCCTTTCACAACGCGCGATAAGGAACTTCGTTCCAAAAATGCTTTAGAGGCTTAATCTCACAATTGCTATTTTCATTTCATTATCTTTGCTATTTCGAATACTTTACTGCTTTCGTGATCATGGATGACTATTAAAGCACTTTCGTTAACATTTGAATATTGCGTCAACTATTAGCAGTTATCATACTACTAAAATTTATTTAGTGTTCTTTAATTAGCACGATATTAAGAAGTCAATGTAGTTTAATTGTATAATATTGTTTTTCGATGAATATTCCATTTATCAACATAACATCATTTTTGTGCCAAGAAAATAGCATCTAGGTTTCAATTGATTTTATTGACTTTGTGTGAAATGTATAATAAAATAAATCAATTTGATGGTAGCTTTTGATCTCGATTATATGTTTAAAATCTCATTCCTTTGCTTTAGAAGATCTAGAACGAGATGTATTTATCTATTCTTTGCAAATTAAAACTTCTACATTTTAATGCAAAAATCTTGACTTGAAAATTTGTTCAGTATTTTTAATGATTAATGAAGAAAAAAAGCGGAACGACATTGGAAATTTGAACACAAAAATTATTTCAATAAATATTGTATTTTAAGTATTCACTCATTTTTAGAATGCACCATACTAAAAATTTCAATATTTGAACCCGTTTGTTTCAACTTTTTAATACGATTTTATTAGTTTAGCCTGTTTCTAGGTATGTAGGTAGGTATGTAACGAGATCTCTCAGCGCATTTTCCACCAACTTCTAAGCTTTCGACTTATTTGAAAATTTGCACACGTGTCAAGGACAACGATCGATAACATTTTAACAATTTTATCATTTGGATCTAATGTTTTGACCGGTTCGCTTTCGACGTGCACACGTTTCACCTGCTGTATTTGGTATTCAGACTTGAAGGAAGGCTTGAAGGAAGAAGGCTTGAAGGAAGAATGATGAGGGCATATTCAAATGTGTATTACCATACGAATGCT